CCACGATCTCCCACGAGGAGCCACACCTGCCCACTATGTTCCACAATGAGACACACCTGTCCACCATCTCCTACAATGAGCCACATCTGTCACCGACTTCCACAAAGAGCCACACCTGTCCACCGTCTCCCCACATGAGCCACACCTGCCACCCAACTTCCACAAGGAGCCACACCTGCCCACCATCTCCCACAATGAGCCACACCTGCCACTCAGCTTCCTCAAGGAGCCACACCTCCCACCCAACTTCCACAAGGAGCCACACTTGCCCACCATATCCCACAAGGAGCCACACCTGTTCACCATCTCCCACAAGGAGCCACACCTGCCCGTCAACTCCCACATGGAACCACACCTACCCATCATTTCCCACAAGGAGCCACACTTGCCCACCAACTCCCACAAGCAACCACACCTACCCTCATCTCCCACAAGGAGCCACACCTGCCGCCTAACTCCCACAAGAAGCCACACCTGCAACCCAATTCCCACAAGGAGCCATATCCGTCCAACATCTCTCACAAGGAGCTACACCTACCCACAAGGAGCCACACCTGCAAACTGTTTCCCATATGGAGCCACATCTACCCACCATCCCTCACAAGGAGCCACACCTGTCTACCATCTCCCAATATAGCCACACCTGCTAATAAGTGCCACATGCAGTACCACCTACCAGGAGCCACACCTGGCCACCACCTCCAGCAGTAATAGGTCAGGGGCATCTCTTGCTCTCCCGCAGGTCATTGTCGCATTTCAGATACCGCAGCTTCCAACATCCACCCACATCATGCCGCAGGGGGTTCATAACTGCTTCAAATGCCGCAGGATGGTAAAATAATCTCTTCTCCGCCCATTCCTCGCCACACAGCGCAACTATCCACACCTCAGCACCTGTTACATGGGTCATAACTCGTCTCCCCCCTCATCCCCTGCCCCCTGATGTCCAGGCCACACTACCCTCCCATGATCTACCGCCCAAGCCACACTACCCTCCCATGATCTACCACCCAGGCCACACTACCTTCCCATGATCTACCGCCCAGGCCACACTACCCTCCCATGATCTACCGCAAAGAGCCGTGTCAACCGCCATTAGCCGCAGGTCGTCACTGGAGGCAGCTCTCTAACACTCATTCCAGAAAGGTGTAACTACGATCTATCTGCCACTGGAGGCAAACCCTGTCGCAGGAAACTACGGATTTCACTATTTGCTACAGGTACACACGGCTCCCTCTATTTGCCGCAGGGAACTACAGCTTCCACCATCTGCCGCAAGGAGTAACAGGTGATCAGCATCTGCCGCAGGGAACTACAGCTTCCTCCGTCCGCAGGGATCCGTCTGCCGCAGTAACAGGTGATCAGCATCTGCCGCAGGGAACTACAGCTTCCTCCGTCTGCCGCAGGGAGTAACAGGTAATCAGCATTTGCCGCAGGGAACTACAGCTTCCTCCAACTTCCGCAGGGAACTACAGCTTCCTCCATCTGCCGCAGGGGGTAACAGCTATAATCAACATCTGCCGCAGGGAACTATAGCTTTATCTGATGCAGGGATTACAGCTGCTCACTTCTTGCTGCAGGAACTACAGCTTTCTCCATTTGCCGCAGGGGGGGGTAACAGCTGCTCACCATCTGCCGCAGGGGGGCTCCCACTACCACACCCACGCAGCACTGCCTTAAGAATGTTGCCGGGACGCTCAGCATGGACACTCAGCAGTTAATTTCTGTGAAGGTAATTATATTTTTTATCTCGTTTCGCCCACATGTGACGAAGTAGGCAGTCCTTAGTGTGTCCGTGGTGGTGGCTCTCTTGTTAACACCAGTTTTCAGTGTGTCCGTGGTGGTGGCTCTCTTGTTAACACCAGTTTTCAGTGTGTCCGTGGTGGTGGCTCTCTTGCTAACACCAGACAGGTGATAATGATTCTTATGTGTTATGAGTGAAAAAAATCCAAGTCCGGGATCACACTCGAGCACCCATAAAAATATTCTTGAATATTTGTTGATCTGCGCGAGGTGTGTACGTTGAACAGGTCATGCCACTGTAAAATGGACATATTTGTAAACACGGACGCCTCTAATGGACTGAATGTCACTCACTGATTTGGTTATAAGAAAATTTTTGTTGTGCTAAAATTTTTTCTCTTGAATATAGGAATAAACGTGAAATAGTTCTCGCCATTGTTCAAGAAGTAAAGCCTTATATGGATGTGATGTGCAGCTGCAGGCGCCTCCCACCTCCCACGCCGAGCTCCACACCTTACCTGAGGAGTGACCTGCATCACCCAGCACCCTCACCTGTATAATAATTTCTGAGAAAAAACCCACCAAATCAATCGTTTTTTAATGGTATGATGGCCCCCCCTCCACCACATACAGGGTCGAGTAAATACGGAAGGTATAGAGGTATAGGTGTGGATAAGTTGATGGGGTGACACTTGGTGGTTAACTGGTGGCGGGAAACAGTCCACACCTGTTATCGGCCACACCTACTGACGCTACCTGGGTCACTGACGAGGGAAGGAGTTACTACAGGTGAGGGGACGATCGCTGGGTGTGGTGGGCGGTGTGAGGGGGGGGGGGAGCACCTCACCCCCTGCACAAGCCTCCACCTCTGCCCACAGCTCCTTGAATACTTCCGGTGAGTGAAAGTCTGCAACAAGCTTGTGAGATGAAAGCGTATTTCATGATCGTTACTTACAGTGGAGCGGCGCGGCAAAAGTTAACCATCTTGCTAACTAACATTACTGGAATGAAAACATATTCGAAACATCATGGCGGTACATCTTCACTATGGCACCATATTTTGTCTTTCCCGTAGATTATGAACACCGAAATAAATATAAATATAGTTCATGTAAACCTCTCTTCCCTGAGTTCAATTTATGAGATAAAAAACTGGGCCTCCCTGAAGCCGGGTTGGGCAGGGTGAAAACCAGCTCACGCATGCGGGGTGTTCCAGCGGGTCCAACACGACTGTCTGTCCCTCCCACACCATACCTGGATCAAAATATAAAAATATGCGTTAACCAAAAAGTATATTTACACCCAAAGACTAATTGTTGTTGATGTATGTAACAGAAATAATGGGTGTCTTGTGCTAATGCCCTATAAAACATGTATATTTCACAAGAATAATAATAAGACTTAAATATATAATCTTACAGAGGGGGAGTATTTATTGTAGGGCTCACACTGATATACTGCCAACCTGCACAGTATTAAAGTATTTAAATCTTTATTCTAGTAAAGATCAATATTGTGCTGGAGCCGTCCCAGAACTAACTCTTGTTACTCCACACTACTTATTGTTTGACCTATCTATCTATCTATCTATCGATCTTTCTATCTGTCTGTCTGTCATTTACTCCAAAAATTGGGTCTTCTACAGTATGCTGCTATGGGCATTAGGCAATATCTAGACAGACAGACAGGCTCTCTCTCTCTCTCTCTCACTACTTTTTCTCCCACTATATTATTGATATTTATCTCTGCCATATTTGTTTGTTTATATAATGATAAATCTTCATTCGTTGTTGTTAAAATGTTTTCCCCTTTCTGTGACAACGGTATTAAAATTTTTGTTTGTGTGTTGAGTTGGGCCACACAGATGATAGTCTTTTGTTTTCATTATATCTATTGTTTATTCCTCTTTTGTTATGTTACCTTATAATCTGATATTAATTCCTTTTTATTATACGTTTCTTTTACTAATTTATAATACTTATCTACTTAGGTAAACTGACACATCATTGGCCAATCCTATACATGATTCATAAGACAATAAATCACATGGTATCAGATGCTACAAAACAGTATAGATACTTCACATAAAGGATCAGTCAATAAACTCAGAGAGAGAGAGAGAGAGAGAGAGAGAGAGAGAGAGAGAGAGAGAGAGAGAGAGAGAGAGAGAGAGAGAGAGAGAGAGAGAGAGATCAGCTTCACACACATATTCCTACTATTGTTTATGTACACTGTAACTCATTTCTCAACACGATCCGTAATATACACACTCATGTTGTCCCAGTCAACCACACTATACTGTCCAGGATCAAGTTACGAGAGATGAGTGTGTGTGACGCTACTGGGATAAGGAATCGGGTGTATATTGATGTGCAATGTTTGTGTGGTTGGATTGTCTATGCAAATTGTATACCTGCATTGTCTATGTACACATTATAACACCTGTTGAATCAGTCCGTGCTTGTACGACAATTTTACTGTCAAATAAACAAATTATCTATCTATCTATCTATCTATCTATCTATCTATCTATCTATCTATCTATCGACACATCAATGTACAAGGAAGGCATTTATATCGAGAAGTGACCTAACTGACTCACCCTCGTCTTTCTGACAACATTTCATTTATATTTCGTGTCATTTCGCCAAGAGAAAGTTGGAATTAAAACTTCATACATTTTAGAACCATTTACGTTGATAAATTTACGAAAACTTTTATTTGCAGTAATTACATTCATCTGTTTTGGATTCGTTTTCTATAAGGGTATCTCATCTGTAATCAGGGGTCATTTAGTATTTTTCTTATGCTAAAACAGTTTATTGTTCCCTCATAACGAAATGGACAGATGTATAGTGTCTTCCTCTTACTTGTTTTGGTACAATTATGAACAAAACTCTGTCATCTCTTCTGCTCCAGGAACCCTGAAATTGAGAAGTTGTGAATCCGAAGCATGTATGAACAGAATGCTTCGAATTCACGAGTCTTGAATCTTTAAGGGTTGGTGGAGCAGCAGAAGAGGCGACAGAACTTGAATTCGTGACTGAACAAGTATGTGTGTTCCTGATATTTGGCGTCTGTGTTTTCATCCAGTAACTTTCTCAAGGATTTAATACATGTTAATGAAAATTGTTATAAAGTTGAATGAAGTATTAATGTCTTGGTTGAGTTTGATAACCACGATCATCTTAGGGTTGGGTTAGGTTAGGTTTGTGGCTGTGTTTATTTAATGAGTAAATGTAGTTTTCTCTCGACAGTTTGGGAATGTTTCTACAACTAGTGAATGACTCTACAACTAGTGAATGACTCTACAACTAGTGAATGACTCTACAGCTGGTGAATGACTCTACAACTAATGAATAACTCTACAACTGGTGAGTGACTCTACAGCTGGTGAATGACTCTACAATTGATGAATGACTCTACAACTAATGAATAACTCTACAACTGGTGAATGACTCTACAACTAATGAATAACTCTACAACTGAAAAAAAAACCCAGACCCAGAACGGAATATTAATCTCAATAATATCTTGACTAAATTTCCCACGACCATTTTTCTTCATTATTCACTAGACTTATGATCCAAGCTTCATTAACACCGAAAAAAATAAAATCACTTTAGCCCCAAAACTTAAAAAAAAAAAAGACTCCTGGCAAAACCCATTTCCAATTCAAATACTTTCCGAGTTCATGAATACAATAAATATTATAATTTCTATACTCCTCCCTGTCAGCTGCTGTTATCTCCACTATAAACCCCGCCCCCTCACCTTTAGTAGTTATATAAATCGGATATACCTTCTTATATGTGGCTCAATATAAACTATTTTACATTTGTTTATATTAGTGTTTATTTGTATATAATGAAACAATAAATTATCCTCTCTCATCGTCATATTTTTGTCATTCGCTTCTCCCACACAACTGTTTATTATCTTATACTTTTATCTAGTTAATGTTTATTTTTGTCTTTTGTTTTCTCATTCGATTTTGACATTTTTGTATTGCTATCTCCTCCCGTGTGTCTCATCTGCTCTCTCTCTCTCTCTCTCTCTCTCTCTCTCTCTCTCTCTCTCTCTCTCTCTCTCTCTCTCCATATCATGTCTCCTCCATAACCCCATCATCTCTTATTAGTGTTCTCCTTATCTAAAACTCCTCCTCTCCCAATACTTTGTCCCTCCCCTTCTGTCTCTCTCTCTGTCTCCTCTTACAATTTGTCGATATTTTCCCTCAGTTTTCCATTCATTATCTTGGCAAAATCTTCATCCATTCTTCTTTTACAGTCATTCTTCTCACCCTATTGTCTTCAGTCTTTATGTGAGTTCTATATGTCATCCCCTGAAGACAATCTGTATATATGTCTTCCTAAATTATTGTCTTCTGTTCTGTGGATTAATTTGTGTTTATTATTCCATGATGTTTTTACCTTTCATTTCACAGTGTTTTTAATGACTACATGCATGCCTACATACTACTACTATGCTGTCACTCGGATTCAAGTATGATGATCATCCAGCTACATACATAATAATGATAATGGTTACCCCTCGTGTAACGAGGATGACATGCCCAAGGGCCACCAAGGCGTGAATTTGTTAAAGGTGTAGAAGCTGTCGCCAACACACAACAACCACACCCTGAGTTAACGAGCTGTATGGGCCAGTGACAAGGAATAATCCGAGAAGACCGGACAACTCGCCAACTGCACTGGTTAACCATTACCCCGGAACACGATCCGCAAATCGATTAACATCCAGGTCCCCAATTACTGCTGGGCAGACAGAGGCAAATGGCATAAAGAAATTTGCCCATAGTTTCACCCTGCCCGGGGATCGAACCCAGGTCCGCTCGCTTGCGAGGCACCATTACACCACATACATACATACATACACATATACAATCCCTGTTATTGAATTTTTTGTCCAATTTCTTATTTATTCTTGTTCCAAACTTTCAATTTCTCGATTTTTTTACGTCTCTTTTCACCAAAACACTTTAATTTAATTCTCTCTTGCACAGAACGTGGTCAGACAATCCTCCGCCCAAAATCTCTTCTCATCGATCTTACGTCAGGCACTGTACCAATCAGGCTTTTGCTTAACACAAATATATTTTTCGCGTTCTTCTTTCCCTCATATTGTGATTGTATCTTTACCATGTATATTTGTGTACATCCACGCATCCTCACTCCCTTACAGCTACACTATGCTTCCTCTAAGTCTGTCTTGTCAGTCTCGTTTCTATACACGACTAATAATCTCTCCTTTATATACCTATCCACTAACATTATATTGGAGTTTTCCTTAATAACATTCTTCCTATCGTTATATAAGACACACACGACTGTCACACGCACCGCTACAGAGAATCCTACAGAATGAACTTACCTGTACTGTAGTGTGGTGGTGGTGGGCGCCCTGCAGCTCCTGAAGGGTGGCTGCAGTGCTTCACAAGGTCCCCTTTCGTCCTGCTCATGGTGTACCTTCGTCCCATCCTATTCTTGTTCTCTTAAATAAAAAATAAAAAATAAATATATACAACGTTAACACTTTCTTTATCCTTAGAAGATATCACTGTAAGTTAAGTTTTATCTCTGAAACCTAATTTTCATTAATTGAAGGTTGCAGGACAAATTTCCATTATAATAAAAACAAATTATTTTTAACCTGAGGTTGTAACAAAGCACTGCCAGGTATTATCACACACACACACACACACACACACACACACACACACACACACACACACACACACACACACACGAGGAAACGTATAGTTATGATGATGTTACTTATGTTGATGTCAGTTGATGGATGAAGACATTGTTAATCGTAATACTACCATTAAAGCTTTTACTTGGGAAATACATCAGTAAGAGAGTATAAAAACACAACTACTTAAAGCTAAGAGTCAAGAGGTCAACTACCATCTGTCCCACCAACCACCACAACAGGAAAAGATTGAGTTGAAGTAATAAAAATAGAAATATTACTCTATGAAAACTTTTGACTTTAGAATACAAATATGCTAATAATAACAACAACAACAACAACAATAATATAATAATAATAACAAAAACAACAGCATAGGTAACATAAACGAGTAGTGATATCAGATGTCTTCTCAAGGGTCAGCACCAGGTCAGTAATACAAGGGTCAGCACCAGGTCAGTAATACAAGGGTCAGCACCAGGTCACTAATACAAGGGTCAGCACCAGGTCAGTAATACAAGGGTCAGCACCAGGTCACTAATACAAGGGTCAGCACCAGGTCACTAATACAAGGGTCAGCACCAGGTCACTAATACAAGGGTCAGCACCAGGTCAGTAATTAGCAAGGTCAGTCAGCACCAGGTCAGGGGTCAGCACCAGGTCACTAATACAAGGGTCAGCACCAGGTCAGTAATACAAGGGTCAGCACCAGGTCAGTCAGCACCAGGTCACAAGGGTCAGCACCAGGTCAGTAATACAAGGGTCAGCACCAGGTCACTAATACAAGGGTCAGCACCAGGTCACTAATACAAGGGTCAGCACCAGGTCAGTAATACAAGGGTCAGCACCAGGTCACTAATACAAGAGTCAGCACCAGGTCAGTAATACAAGGGTCAGCACCAGGTCACTAATACAAGGGTCAGCACCAGGTCACTAATACAAGGGTCAGCACCAGGTCACTAATGAAGGGTCAGCACCAGGTCACTATACAAGGGTCAGCACCAGGTCACTAATACAAGGGTCAGCACCAGGTCACTCACTGATACAAGAGTCAGCACCAGGTCACTAATACAAGCAGCACCAGGTCACTGATACAAGAGCCAGCACCAGGTCACTAATACAAGGTTCAGCACCAGGTCACTGATACAAGAGCCAGCACCAGGTCACTAATACAAGGTTCAGCACCAGGTCACTGATACAAGAGCCAGCACCAGGTCACTAATACAAGGGTCAGCACCAGGTCACTGATACAAGAGTCAGCACCAGGTCACTAATACAAGGGTCAGCACCAGGTCACTAATACAAGGGTCAGCACCAGGTCACTAATACAAGGGTCAGCATCAGGTCACTAATACAAGGGTCAGCACCAGGTCACTAATACAAGAGCCAGCACCAGGTCACTAATTCAAGGGTCAGCACCAACAGTGTTGAAGATGTATTCTGAGTAATGGTGCTGAGGATGTTCTCTGAGTAATGGTGCTAATGATGTTCTCTGAGTAATGGTGCTGAGGATGTTCTCTGAGTAATGGTGCTGAGGATGTTCTCTGAGTAATGGTGCTGAGGATTTAATAGTTCACTTTTTTATATTTGACGCTATGAGTATAATTCGGTCAAAACCTGTTAAAAACATTCACATATAACAACTGCTGTTATATCAGGACACAGTTTGTATAATATTATCAATATATAGTACATAACATGTTTACCTCTTAAATATAACTCGCATGTTATAACTGCTGATACATCTGGACACAGTTTGTATATGATCAATATACAGTCCATAAATACACTTATTAAAGTTATTTAGAGTTCTTAGAGGATTTAATAGTTCAAAATCACACTCCAGGACGAGGTTGGCTGAACGAAAATCAAGATGCTGTCTCTCCGGTAGAAGGCGAGACTCTGGTTCTCAGGCAGTCACACAGGTGTCATTATAAGTTATAATGACACCTGATAAACACCTTGAGAATTTATTGTAAACAAATTCTTCAAAACATAAACAGAATCGCTTAGTCCCACATAAACACATACAGGTATTTATTTATTTATTTATTTATTTACACCTGGATAAAATATAATCACACAGGAACGAGGTAACATTTCCTAGTGAAAAATGAATAATATTCTCAAAACCACAAAAGAGATTGGCAAATTATTCTAGAACACGTGTGATAACAACAGGTGTGTGAACACATAAATAACATAGTAAATAAGATGAAACAGTCTGACAGTCACGACACACTGCAGCTCGGATACTCAAGGGCATTACTGTATATCCAATTAAACATTTCCACAGCTGATGTGATGTTAGATTTTATTAACCAGGTGAGCAGTGTAATGTTTCCTCCTTTTATTGTGTGTATATAGTGAGGGAATCTAACCCATCCCACACCTTCACTTAACGTAATTTATTATGGTTTGTGTTGAGTTGTGTTGTGTTGCTTTGCGTTGCGTTAAGTTGGCTTGGCTTGATTTGGCAAGATTTTCTGAAAATTAAAACAATCTTTTTCGACTCGAGAGTAAGTAACAAATATGGTACAGCACAACGTATAAGTATTGATGTACATTATTCCTGTTTACCTTCAAGTTTACAAATACTTCCTTGGTGTGAGCCTTGTTTATACCACTGCACCGAGGAGCTCAAGTGAAGTATATTGGT